TGGCCAGGTGGTTAGGGCGCTAGACTCGCAATCTGCGGGTCGCGTGTTCGAATCCCCCTTTCAGCCGTGGGAGCCTTATAATGTGACGGTCAATCCCACTATTCATTGGTAAAATAGTAGCCCAAGAGTTGGCGGTAGGTGGTGACGACTAGCTGCCTTCCCTTTAGTCTTACACTGCTAAATTAGGGACGGCTAGCGCAGATAGCCCTCGTGTAGCTTTGCGCGAAATTTAAAACAAACAAAGTTTTCTATTTCTGATTAAAGTCACACTTTGGAAATAAAGTTCTATTGTAACAAAAACAACTATTATTTTCTAAACACTTATGAGTGAATATTACATCTGTCATATCCAGTGCCCATCAGTCTGGTTAGAGTACGGCATGTATAAGTAGTATATAAATCACCAATTTTAATGAACAACAACTGTTATGGTGTGAACGAGATTATATGAGTAAATTTTAATTAATTTATATTTTATTTAAGTCATTTATAAATTATTTTTTTTGTAGGATAAAAACCAACAACACGATATTTTTAACTTCATCTTTAACACTGATTAATATGTTTTTCTCGTGATTTGTTTTATTTTATAGTTTGTGATCTTTTAATATAGATTGTTCACATATTCAGACCCCCTGTTTAGACTTTAGGAAACCGTTGCTTCACAGAGATTGAGTACATAACATTAAAACGATTTTGAGCATCATTACAATCTATGTCGTCACGTCCGGTCATGCTCTGCCTTACCACCATGCACCTTTGCAATAGCCTTGCAGCATAATTTTCATTTCAAAAGGCTCTGATCTCAGTCTGTCATCTCGAAAGCGCCCCATTACTCCCTGCTTGCTTTCCATAATCCATATAGTGTACGAGGATAACGTAGGAGCTGCATCCGGCGACTTGACTAGTTTGTTTCCATATGGAACAGTATGAATCGGATATCTTTCTTTATTATATTATATTATATACTGTTGTCTGAGGCAGTGGACAGCTTTGCCAACTGACCTTTGTGCTAATGGATTCTCACCTGTTACAGTACGCCAGGCTTTACTTATCACGACTGGGGTACGAATTGTTGCAGGTCTCTTTATAGGTGGTCTTGGTTCTCCAACTGAACATTCCTTTGTTTTCAAATGCCAGAAATTACAGGGGGTATCGCCGTCTGTAAAAGTCTAAATCCCCGATTTGAAAACATCTTTATGATCTGATTGTATTGATATTTTTCGATAAAAAGGGTTGTTACATGGCCTGCTCAAAAGTGATCAATTTTTGATGGCATCGCACTATATATGTAACTCAAAATAATTTCAAAATGTAGTTCTGATACATCCTGTTCCATCACGACTTTATACCCTACCATGAAACAGCTTATAACTACTCTGCTGGATGACCTAAATGACCCACTGTTCCAGCAAATTTCTAAAGAATTCATTTGCAGTTTCATCCATCACAAACAGACACACAGACAATCATTTGAAAAATTGTTTCATCTACATTATTAAGTAAGTTAATTGTATTTCTAACTTACGTGGGAAATTTCCTTTGATCAGAAGCTGATGATAGGTTTGTAACATCTATATTTAATCTTTAAGTGTTAAGAAGTCATAGATGTTCTAAAAACTGGTGTTTCTCAATTCCACAAATCAATTATATGATGATGATCTGAATAAAAAAATATATATTAAAATAAAAAATAACAGTCCTGGATTAGTTACACAGTTCAGCGAATTGCGGCCTCTCGTGTATATTATATATATATATCTTTGAAGCAAAAAACCTTCTATGTGGTGTGTTGTGATAACCATAGAAGGCCAAACACACACACGAGCCTTCATAAACTCCAAACGTCGAAGCTCACTTTAAATTCTCTGTAGCGTACAATGATTATAATGATATTAATTGTGGTCTTAAAGCTTATATTATAAGAAAGAACACAAAAAGAGAGAGAGACTCTTCAGACTGACTTAATTCCCATTTTTGAGGAATAAAATTAGCAGCACGTGTCCCATGGTAACACGGATTCGATTCTTGACGGATTAATGTCTCGAAATTTACTTTCCTGGTCGTTCTCCACTTCCTACATTTGGTGAAACTGGAAAGATGGTTGGAAGCTTTGGTTATTAAATAGCACAATATTAGGGTTAGACAGACAACTTGGTTGGTTGTGTTATATTATGATTATGATAAATATGTTGTAGTTAATGTGTATTAATTCGATTTAACAGCATATTTTACAGTTACGATTGTGGAATGCACAGTCATCCAGGGAATAGACTGTGCTTTGGCTGTCGCTTTGTTTTATGTGTGTGTGTGTGTGTGTTTTTCTGGATAAAAACATTTACAAGCCCAGAAGGTGAAAGACCAGAAAAATAAGTTATTTCTTGCTAAAAATTTTTTGTCTTTTGTTCTTTTTAAATTTATATTTCCTCGCGCTTCTTGTCCTCCACAATTTGATCCTCAAGATTGTCCCTCTGTGAGTCAGTGGTAAGCTTATGGAGTTACAACTCTAAAATCCGGGGTTGGTTTCCCGCAGTGGAGAGAGCGCAGTTAGCCCATTGTGTGTATATGTGCTGGAACAAATATCAAGATGAAGCCATGTTTTTCTTATGGTGGACTAATGAAACAGATGTACGAGTCAATTAAGTACTCAAGATTGCTTTATATTAGAGTTATCAAGATCTTTACGACGTCCAAGATTAAAGGATTAACTCGTTTAAATAGGCTTGGAGACGTCAAACTACACAATATCTGGTTTTCTGTAAGAAAGTTCAACTAAATGTTGATCTCCTACCTGATGTAACTGTCCTCAAAGACAAATTTTTGGTATGAAGTATTTTCACCTACGAAAACAATTTT